TGTCGCTCCGGCCGGACAGGGCATCACAATATGGCAAGGGGCGTAACATTTCCATCACACGCTTGAGGTATTCGACCAATCATAACGCACTGGATAGCTGGCCAATCAGAGCACACCTTGCTTTTCAGACCGATGAGCTTTGTAAAAATCGACACGTTTCAGAAAGGCGGGGGATATAGAGGAGAAACAATAATGTACAGTATGTGGAAAATAATGTGTTTTTTTAACCTTAAACAGCATAAACACATTTCATTACACCAAATACACAACATAATGTTCTTTTTAGCAACATCATACGACCCCTTTAAAATAACTGATTTCTATTTTAATATGTTTTAAAATGTAATATATTCCTGTGATGCAAAGCTGAATTTTCAGCATCATTACTCCAGTTTTCAGTGTCACATGATCCTTCAGAAAGCATTCTGATATGCTGATTTGCTGTTCAGGAAACATTTCTTCTTATTATGAAGGTTTAAAAGAGTTGAAAACAACTAACAATAGAATTTCTAGTATAATTTAAAATAGCATTTATTTGAAAATCATTTTGTAATTATTAATGTCTTTTCAATTTAATGCATCCTAGCTGAATACAAGTATTAATTTCTTTAAAGAAAATTCTTGCTGACTATAAACATTCTGACAGTGCTATTTCACCACATATACATGCATACATTCATGCCCATCCAAAATAAATAAAAAATTATCATTACATAAATTATATATAAATTAACAGTTCAGCTCTCCTTAACAAGTCAGTGTAGCCCAAACAGTGCTGGCTTAATCCAAAACCCCAAGTATGTGATATAGTAACATTAATTAAAATTGAATTTCATTAGTATGTTCCAACTGCCCAGTCACTCTGATCACAGATTTAAAGTGACGAGATGCACAGTAGGGATTTGTCATGAACACTTGAGCCGTCCCAAGAATCAAAATCATGTCCTTACAGTTCTGCAGGAATCTGCCAACATGAGCTAATCCTACAGTGGGCTGATCTCACAGTCTGCCATGCTGAAATGCCTCCAGCTTTGGGTTTCGAGGAAAATGTTATTACCCTGCCCCCCTTTTTTTCTTGGACAGTGCTGTTGTTTGTTTTCATTCGCATCTAACAATTAGGGAAATGTGAGATTCAAGGGCTAACAAGAATAATTAGCATGGCAACTGAATATTTGGTTGCAGAGTGGACCTTAACACAAACGAGATATGATTAATTAACCTCAGACCTGAAATTAAACATATTTGGCACATAACTCATCAAGTTTTGATTGGACATTAAAGCATCCGGCTTGCTGAGTTAAAAAGTAGCTACCTAACAACCGCCTAAACACTCTAGCAACCACATAGCAACAAATTAACTGATAAAATTACAGAAAATTTACATAATTGCATTGTACTCTTTGTATTCAATGTCCAAAACAACTGTCAAATCCAAATGAGCAAAAGATTTCCCATTTATAATGCCCATAAAAACGCAGTTAGTTCCATTAAAAACCTCATGTTTGATTGCTGACAAAAGAGTCAAATTGAATCCCGCCTTTATATTACCATGACAATATCCTGTTCCGCTGAGGCAGACTGGCCATGCTTGTCCCCATGCAATAACTAAAGAGTCACAGGGGTCGGCTCTGCGCACAACAGGAAGTCAGAGAAACACGCCCCATTATTGAGTCCTCCATTAAAGCTCATTCAAGCAGATGTGACCAACACAGCTCCTCTTTTAGGAAGCTTTAGTAAACCGCTGTGTGTCTGTGATTATATTACACGATCGCCTTGGGCCTCTCATAAAGACTGCAATTACAAGATAACATACCAGTGGTCTCTTTTAGCTCAGAAAATGAATTGAACTAATTGATATAGACAATGTTTTCCCAAATATGATGCAATCATGAAAAACATTTACACAGAAATCTGTCCTACTCATTAATACAATTATTCATTAATAACATATTCAGTGATGTTGCACTGAATATATGGTCACCCTCCCTTCCCCCATTCTCACTTTACTCACACCTTTATTATGTGTGTGTGTGTGTGTGTGTGTGTGTATAAAGACTGCAGTGGGTTCGTCTGCCCACAGTAAGATTTCATAATATAAATGTAAAACACAGTAATACACATGTATACTGATTTTAAAAACTGTATATAATTTGTCCAAATTTGAAAGGGCATATAAACACCTCAAATATCAAGACTAACAACACTTATAGACACACAAACTTGTCACACTTTCCAAAAATGGAACAGGGATATTCCAGGATATAGAGAGTGAGAACAAGTGTGAGACGAAGAAAGGAATTACTATGGGGAGTGTAACTCAGTGTTCTCCTGGGAAAGCCGTGTGTGTGTGTGTGCGTAAGGAGGTGGAGAAACCGAGTCTCTAGGGAGCAGCTGCCACGGCACTGATATACCACAGACTAATCAGACACGTGGCACGTGAAATTCAATTAACACACACACACATACACGCACATTTCCAGTCCATACACTCACTGCATTTCCTAATTCAATACACACAATTCAATTACTTTTTTTGGTTAAATTGGATAGTAAAATTAGGCACACCCCAGAGAAATACACATCTATCTCATTAAGGCTCTTTATTTCCAACAAAAATAGAAACACTCCAATAAATAGCAAGGGACTTAAATCCCAGTGTCCCTGATGCTCATCTCAGTGACCTTTCACCTTTCATTTTTCACCTCAGGACTACCCTCAGCACGCTTCACTCTTAATAACTGTGGATGGACTTGAGAAACCCAGGGAGGTGTGTCCGAGACAGAAAAAGTTTTGGCAGCACTTTCTATGAAGCCCATATTTATAATACATTATAAGGGTATTCTTAAGGCATTATAATGAATGCATAATGCATTATAAAAACCTTATAATATGTTATATCATCTTATAAATAATCATAACAACAATTATAATACAATATAATGCTTACGCATTCTATTGACTATAAGCAACTTTGCATCTACATGTCAAATAACTCTCATTAGAGTATTAGTAGGCTTAGTTTAAGGTTAGGGTAGGTAGAATGTTGACGTACTTGCAAAGTTACTTATAGTCAGTATGTCTGTTGGGGTACCATCAAAATAATCAAACTGATACAATAAAAATAATTCAAAGCAAATGTGTCATATTACACATTCATCTGATCTGATATCTGATCTTATGGCTGTTTGAGAAAAAAGTGTTCATTGTGTTATAAATTATCATACTCTTAAAAGCTATAACCACAAATAAGTAAATATTATAAAACATTAAAACTATTATATAGCATATTATAAGTTTTTTTTTATAATGCATTATGCATTCATTATAATGCCTTAAGAATACCCTTATAATGTATTATAAATATGGGTTTCATAGAAAGTGTTACCAAAGTTTTTAAAAGAAATATTCACTGAACCAAAAATTGTTCTTTTACGGGTCATTGCTGCCAAAACATCCTTTTGGAATCTTTATTTTTAAGACTGTCAAATTTAATGAAATGCATTTTGCACAGCTTTAACTTCTGATTGTGCATAAAAACTGATCTATATATACATTTTCCCCATAAAGTCTGAGAATAGGACACATCAAAGACTCTACCCAAAGGGTAAAAATGGATATGGGTGCTTTATGTCCTTTTACAGCGGATGTCATTGAACAGACGCTCTCCTGTCTTTCAACACACGAGCCTCTTAACAACCTCCCTTGAGACGCCTGAGAGAGCACAGAAGGGAGATGGCCATCAACGCTTTCAGGTCAAAGAAAGGAAATGTTTAGCGCCAGTAAACACAGGACCAGCAGCACCATAATAAAAGACATTTAAACACAGCTGGTTGGTCTGCATGCTGAAGCGCGAGATGAAATGAGGGAGGAGCATATTAAACTCGTGTTCTGTCAGCTGTTTAGTGTCTCAATTTATTTATGAATCATTGTGGGAACAATAATAAGATGGTTTATGCAGTTCATATACTCCTTAGTAAAACTAAATCAAAATTACACTTAATAAAAATGAAATAAAATGCACATAAAATGTGAGTTGTAAGAATTGAGTGACTTGTATTGAATTGTTTGATATTAATATGGACTTTCAAATTGTTTTTTTAAATGCACAATATTTATTTGTATGTGTGTGGGGGGAGGATCACTGGTCATCCATTGCAAATATTGCAAGAATAGTGCAATATTTCAATTTAGCTACACTGGGGAAGATGTTTATCTGTGCCCAATTATCATACATTAGCATGCATTAGCACACATTAAAATGTCTTAAAGTGAATACAGAGACTAGTTCAATCAGACTTCTTTGTTCACTGGTGCATGTTGTTGAACACATAAAATTGCACAAATCTAAATGCATCTAAATTCTAATAACAAAAACAATAATGAGAGTGTGCACAAGGGATTTTGTTCCATGTTAAAAGAAATGAAGAAGAAACTAACACACTTGTAATTATGCCATAAATGAAATACATACAAGACATCATTAACCAATCTAACACGGAGCAAAAGCAGACACAAAAATCTATATTTCCTCCATGATATATAATGTCTTATTATTCTTAATTTGTGAAGCAACCTCATTTGTATTTGTATATCACCTATAAAGACCACAGCACACAATGGCCTTCATTTAGAATTAGTTATTATGTATGATGTTATTAGAACTTTTTATTTTGTTTTTTAATTATCAATTTACTTATTGGTCGTATTTTTGTTTTGATTTCAGACACGTGTAGGAAAATCTCCTCCGGCCGTTCCACACCAGCTGCACTGCTAATAACCATTACCAATCAGCCATATGTGCTGTGATGGAGGATAGAGAAAGAAAGGAGTGATTACATGCTTGTGTGTGCCAGTGTGTGTGTGAGCAGAGAGAGAGTGAATGAGAAGAATGGAAAAAGGCGAGGGAGAGAAAAACTACTGTATGCATAGAAAACATTAAGGTACAGCAGGGTAAAAGTTTCCTTTAAAAATGGTCACATAATATACAATAATCAAAGGAATATATTTGTTTTAATTGTCTTTTGAATTACATTTCAGTTAAAAAGTTTGGGGTTGGTAAGATTTTTCAGTGTTTTTTTAAAGTTTACCAATGCTGCATTTATTTGATCAAAAACATGTTAATTACAATTCTGTCAGGACCACTATCGTCAAAGATGATTGACAATTAGCATACAGTTTGGATTGGCGGTATGGTTCTGTTCTGGGCAAGAACTCCCTGCGAATCCATGCTTGACTAACGTGACTTGCCAGAACTAACGCTACGCTAGATTATTATTACAATTTAAAAGACATGTTTTCTATTGTAATATATTTAAAATGTAATTTATTCCTGGGATGGCAAAGCTGAATTTTCAGCAACAATATTGAGAAACATTGCTTATTATAATCAATGTTGAAAACAGCTGCTGCTTAATATTTTTGTGGAAACTCTCACTGTGTTGTAGTCTAACTATGAACATGCAAGAAATAATATGATATGAAGTGCAGTTTAACAGAAGGTTGAAAGTAAAGTGAAGAGAAAGAGAGAGGGACATGAGGCAAAATAATAATAATCTACAGCAAAATGCATTATGCCTATGAAACAAAGATAAATTCCCCTCTCTTCTTCAGGTGCAAGATAATCCTGGAGTGTGTCATCTAAACTGAAGTATGTCTGTGGGGTAGTAGAATAAACCTCTCCATCATCAACACATAAACAGCTCAGTAAAACAGTCTGAACACCAGAATTATGTGCACTCTGTTATAGATCTGATGTCACTAAAACACAAAAGTTGCTTATTCAGAAAGAGTCAAGTTTAGTTGACAATAATTGGCTGATGTGTTAGAGCACTTTAACGTACAGTCACCATGTTACAGTGAGCATCTGCAGACTATTCAACAACATGATGAAATATTAAGTGCATGTTACTCATTACTATCACTTAGTACTTACAGTAATTACATTATTAAATGGACACTAATGTAAAAGTGGCCTAAAATAAGTGAATAATTCATTTAGTCTCCTAAAGCCACTTTACATTAGACCAGCTCTCATGTTTCTAACTGTCACTGTACAGATAAAACCAATTATTACATGGGACAATAAACAAACAGTCCAACTGCTGCAACCCAAGTTACCAGTTAATAGGCCATGTTTACCAAACAAAACCAAGTTTCATATGAACATAATTTTGTTTAATGTTTAAAAATAATAAAAGGAGAATGTTTAAAAGTTTGGTGTCAGTAAAAATAAATTAATACTTTAATCAAAGGATGCATTAAATTGACCAAAAGTGGCAGTAACAATATTTACAATGTTACAAAAAAATTTTTTTCAAATAGATGCTGTTCTTTTAAACTTTCTACGCAAAGAATCCTGAAAAAATTTTATCATGGTTTCCACAAAAATATTAAGCAGCACAACTGTTTTCAACATTGATAATAATAACAATAAATGTTTCCTGAGCACCAAATCAGCATATTATCAATGATTTCTGAAGGATCATGTGACACTGAAGACTGGAGTAATGATGCTGAAAATTCAGCTTTGCCATCACAGGAACAAATTACACTGCAATAATATTTCATGATATTAGTGTATTTTTGATCAAATAAATGCAGCTTTAGTGAGCATAAGAGACGTCTTTCAAAAACACAAAAACAAAAATGAATGCATTTTCCCCAGCTTAAAACATTTATGCTAGTGAATCCTACACAGTGTCAGTGCAGTATGAAATGACACGTATCAGTGAAAGAGCCATTAAATATCATCTTATGTTCACTTCTAAGTCCTCAAAGCCTACAATCCTCACAAAACACTAGCACACACTAAATTTGTGCACATTTTTGGTATAAAATGTTTCCCACTGCTGTATTAAACACAATAAAGTTAATTAATAATGCCAATAATGACACTGACAAGAATGAAACAACAACTGTTCCTTTTATAATTTCTACCTTGTTTGCACTGCTACGCAAAGATAACTACAGAGTTAAGACCAAAATCAGGACTCACTTTGCTGAGTTTGACAAAATGTGAAAATGTATCAAAAAAACAAGTTAGCCAACATCTTGATCACTGATTTGACTCCAGTAGCGTTTTTGAGTGCTGACCTAATTTAACAGTGTTAATCTGATTAGCCCAGTGACCTCTCCCCTACTGACCATCATACACATGCTCACAGCTTTAACAAACCCCCTGCAGCCACCACACTTGTTGATAGTCTGAAGAGTTTACCACAAGCATAAAAGCACTGATGATCACTACAGGCTACACTCAAAACAAGCTGATGACAAGAACGGACACAGCTGTTTTTGCTGCTATTGTTCATTAAACATAACTTCAACATCATTTGTGCTTTCAGTGGGCTGTGTTTATACTCATGGGGATGTCTGCAGAGTGCGGTGCTGTGGTGCGCTAGACGTCTCTGTGGTGGATGAAATATTTAGGGTTTCTATGAAAGGAAACGAGGGCCTTATTTAGATGCCCTCCGACTTGGAATAATGCAGAAATTCGGACTAATCCACTCATATAGCCAAAGGCATCTGTCTGTCAGCTCCTATTCTTCTTACAGCATGGATGGAAAAAGCAGCTCACAGATGTACACGCAAAAGTTTCCTCATTCATACGGACACTCAAAGAGATTTCATCTTAAAGTGTTCTCTTAAAGGGAAAGTTCATCTAAAAATGAACCTTCTGACATCATTTACTTACTCTTAATTCTTTCCAAAACCTACACCTAAGTTCCAAAAGGGTTTTTTCGCATAGAAGAACCATTTTTGGGTCCCAAAGAATCGTTCGGTGAACAGTTCTTAAAATAATCTTTTTCCACTATAAAGAACCTTTTGTGGCATAGGTTACATGGATGTTAAATGTTCTTTGTGGAACCATTGATGCCAATAAAGATCTTTATCTTAAGAGTGTATATAACTTACTTTCTTCTGTGCAACACAAAATAAGATATTTGAAGCACATTTTTTTTCCATAAATTGTCAACTGGGAGGCAAACATTGGACCCATTGACTTTCATTGTATAGAAAAACAAAAAAAGCAGTAATTTTAAGTTCTTGTGTTCCGCATAATAAACACTTAATTCAAACAGGTTCGAAATTACATTAGAGAGAGTAAATAATGACAATTTTCATTTTTGGGTTATCTATCCCTTTAAATTTCAATTAATTAGTTCTCTATCACAATATACACATTTAAGCACATGCACATCCTATTTTTATTCTCTCTCTCTCTCTCTCTCTCTCTCTCTCAATCATTGGACCCATTGACTTTCATTGTACAGAAAAACAAAAAAGCAGTCATTTTAAGTTCTTGTGTTCCGCATAATAAACACTTAATTCAAACAGGTTCGAAATTACATTAGAGAGAGTAAATAATGACAATTTTCATTTTTGGGTTATCTATCCCTTTAAATTTCAATTATGATGTTCTCTATCACAATATACACATTTAAGCACATGCACATCCTATTTTTATTCTCTCTCTCTCTCTCTCTCTCTCTCTCTCTCTCACACACTCTGAGGGCTCACCGCGATTCGCAGCAGCGTCCCCTTCACTGATGCCCATCTGTCTTGCCGCCGGTCAATGACCAGGATGAAGCCGACCCCCGTCGAGCCGAGACTGAAAATCAGAGAGACACCATCACCATGGCAGCAAGCGCACACACTTTCAAAAGTCATAAACGCTGAGATACTGAATATGTCACATACCCTAAAGTCATCATTAAACGGTTACTAACCGACTCACTGCAGTCATCCCTACATATCAGACTGAAAAATTAACCAGCACTCGGTGTATTGCAAACCATTATTTTATCTACATGTACACATCTTCGTTTGCCCCCTGACACGCCAGATGAATGCATAATGTGTCCAAAAGCAAATTAAAACACATAGACGTACATTGAAATGCACTAGCCCAGAATGCAATCGTGGCAACGTAGCGCAGAGATGCTGAGCTGGTTGCTATGTCCATCACCATGGAGAACGGCAGCGCTCCGCACCAGCAGTATCAAGCTGCTTTATGGTGACCGAGGAGGCAGAAAATCCAATTACACACTACTGATATTAAAAAAACAAACAGCATGAATGTGCAGAATCCACCCCAATGCTGATATTCCAAATGTCCTTCTGCAGATTTCAGTGTACACAGATGGTTTCTTGCCTTCAGTGCACCTTTGCTTTCAGCCCCTCTGTTTATGGTTCCATTTGAATGAATGCCACCGTAGGCACAGACCGGGAGAGCAGCTACATTTTGCCTCCCCTTTACAGCGACCAATCATGCAGCATCAGGTGCTCCCTCTCAACCAATCAGAGCTCAGGAGAGCGCTGACGGACAGCCGGGCTCAGAGTCTAGCCTGAATTGCTAATATGGAATGTGGGCGGGAGATGAGTGCTGATTGATAATGGAAGCTCCTCCCACTAGAAACTGGCACTGCAGATACTTGTGCATCAAATCTGCCGCCATTACAGTGACACACAGATTGTGTGTCTTTTTTTCTGGCTCCCGCCTTCTCCACCAAATTTCACACTTTCATCCCTTTTCTCTCCTCTCAATTCCACCTCCCTGTCCCCCCTCAGCCTCCGGCTGTTTTTCTCAGTAACGTTTGTTCTCTGCTCCTTTCACAGTGGAGGGTAGGAGAAAGAGAGAATGGAGAGATGCAGGGGACTTATCAGCTGACAAAGCCCTGGTGCAGATCTGTACTGACACATTGACTAATGACCTTGAGTGTCCATCAGTAATAAAGATCAAAAATCTGATTACAATCATCACTGTAATTATAACCTTCCATTCAAAGGCTGTTGGAGAATTCTAAAGCCAGCGGCTGGTTCATTGCTCAAGATTTATGGTCATACTGGTGCTTAGTCTATAATTTTTTTAAATTATTGTTCTGTGTTGTTAGTGCATTGTGTTAAGAGTGCAAAGCAATATTTTATATATATATATATATATATATATGTATATAATTATATGTATATATAAAGTTATGTGGCTGTGTGTATATTATATTATATATATATATATATATATATACACACACACATACAAGATAGCTGAATGCTTTGAATGAATAATGGGATGAAGATTTATTTAATACAGGACATTTGTATTTTCACTGTTAATAAAAAAAAAACATCAAGATATTTGGGCTTGACTATAAATTGCAAATATGTAATAATATTAAATTTAAAATTGTAGATGTTTTATCAGAAACCACAGAACAAATTCAGGACCATGTCTTGCTTACAAATTAATCTTTGAATACATTTTACAAACACATATTGAGGTCATATTTCATTCTATAATAATAATAATAAATAATAATTATTATTATTATTCACATTTTCATAATGTGTCCAGACAGTATCAATTAAAAAAAAAATCAAAACGGTATTAATTCTAGGTAGTTCAAATCCATGATGTACACATACTTTTGTACAATTTTTATTTTATTTACTTATTTCTTTTTTTACTTTGTATTACAGTATGAGAATTAGTTTCCATTATAATAATTTGAATTGTGTGGCTAAATGTACTTAATGTCACAATGCAAAATATCTTTATGGTTTTAAGCAAAATAGTATAGTATTAATTTCTTTTTATTTTATAAACATGACTAGGACGCATTCTTGAGGGGTTTCATGACATTCGCCCCTTTATTCCATGAGCTGCTGTATTTTGCTCCTGAACTCCTTTCATTTACCAAATCAGAACTAAATCAAAACCCCATCATTTCTTATTATTATTATTATTCACATTTTCATAATGTGTCCAGACAGTATCAATTAAAAAAAAAATCAAAACGGTATTAATTCTAGGTAGTTCAAATCCATGATGTACACATACTTTTGTACAATTTTTATTTTATTTACTTATTTCTTTTTTTACTTTGTATTACAGTATGAGAATTAGTTTCCATTATAATAATTTGAATTGTGTGGCTAAATGTACTTAATGTCACAATGCAAAATATCTTTATGGTTTTAAGCAAAATAGTATAGTATTAATTTCTTTTTATTTTATAAACATGACTAGGACGCATTCTTGAGGGGTTTCATGACATTCGCCCCTTTATTCCATGAGCTGCTGTATTTTGCTCCTGAACTCCTTTCATTTACCAAATCAGAACTAAATCAAAACCCCATCATTTCTTCATGCCATTTTCAGCATGAAGAAATCCATCCAATTACTCAATTACCCCCTCTCTCTCTGTTTCTCATGGGAATAATGGGGAAACAAGAGGTGGAAAGAAAGAGAGTGTGATGGAAAGCAAAGGACCAGAATCACTCTTTCATTAAAATATTAACAAGGGCTGTTAAATTAAAGAGGATTTCACAGGATCAGCAAACAGACCAATGCACCAGTGAACTTTCACAGGGATTAACATTAAAAAAAATTTGAATGATATACATGCAAATTAATTCAACATCTTTAGGTTACTCATTGATATGAAGTCATCTTCAAGTCAACAACTTACTTCCCTGAGAAAATCATGTAGGTCACATTACTCACAAACTAAGAATGCATATGTAAAACAAGGGGCATTAGGATCACCTTGTTAATCGTGTACATAATTACACATTCTAATTTAATATGTATGATGAATATTAATGAGCAGTCACACACACATGCAGACAGTCATGACTCAAATTCATTGAATTGCAAACAGCATGACGTGTTGCAATGGGAAAGCATTAGAGTGCCATCTAATGTCCAATTCAAGAAACAAAACAACCGACCAAAATATTTCTCAACTAGTTTCTCATCAACACTGCAGTGAAATGACTGAATAAAGATAATAACTTCATCATAAATTAAATACATACAATGTATTCTGTTGTTAAACAAAAATAATTTCTGATAGGCTTTGCTAAAAGCTGGGTAATTTAGTGTTCCCACACTTTTTGACAAATGAACTTTCATGACATTTCCAATCATTCATCAATGCTGGATTTTAAATCAGAGATTGGAGTGTATTTATAGGTCAGGACGCAATTTTTGGAATTAATAGACTGAAGTACACATGTTTTCAATAACAGCATCAATGGTTTGCATGCACATCTACTTTGTAAGCACTTACAAGAAGCAACATCTAGTCAATAAATAAGGACTTTTCTAGGTCTGGGGGGAAAACATTTTCACATGCCCCGATGAATGTAGGAACTCTGGTTATTTTTTTTAAGTGCTGGTAATGACTGATCCTTCCACCTCCTGTTTTCTCACCTGGGAACACTGGTCAGATATGTCAGCACGTTGTGAAACTCCTGTTCCTCCAACTCACCAAACGCCGGGTACTCTGGGAAAATAATGATGGGGCTGCCATTCTGTCCTCGGCCACCTGGAAATGCAGATTTGGAAGAAGACGGCATGAAAACTAATCATCTTTTTATTCCATTATACCTTGTGATGCAAATAAGTGTTATGATAATATATTAAGAGGAAAAATTGTCTATAACCAGCAGCATTAACCTCCTGAACTAATCTGAACTAGTTTACAGTCAGACTGATCTAGCAGCACTTCTGCATTTAAAAAGTCTTCTACCCACAAGAGGGCACTTCTACAGCTTCACATGTACAGCGTACATAGAGAAATACGACTGCGTACATTCACAGAAAACTGATCGTAGCTATTACGAACTGCATAGACGCGTCAAGGACATGAGGCAATGTCAAGGGCACAATGCAACGGCATGAGAACAAAACCTTCAAATCTCCTCTTTTCCTGTCATTGAGCTTCGATACAGATGACATTAAAAAACACAGAGATAAACATCATATAAATCATTACTGGGGCTATAGATAGTCTGTATGTGTATGTGTGTGTGAGAAATAGAAGACAGAAATGGAAAGAGGACGAAAGACATGTTTGGTGCAGTATGTTCTGTGACAGAGGTCATGTGACCGTGTGTGTGTACTTGGATGCTACAACACTCTGTGATTAATAGAGCAGGATAGATCCACTGCAGCACTTACACATATTAACATCGCTATGACTGTCACACACAGACACACACACACACACACACACACACGAGGTGAAAAGGACACTGCTGTCACATTTGTAATCATGAGTAGAGCAAAACCAAAGAGCTCCAGTCCACCTGGACCAGGTAAGAGAGAGAGAAAGAGGGTCACTCCACAACATTATACTACAACATGCAATCCAAAAGACAAAGAGGCATTCATCTTCAACAAACGGACACACCATACAAAAAAGAAACTCTCTCTCTCTCACACCCACATACTCTGAGAACAATATAATATAAGAGAGTATAAAAGAATATAATGGAAAAGAGCAGAATATACAATGGAGTATGTAGCGTCTCGACCAATCTGACACACTAATTTTTTTTTGATTTAACAAATCAATTATTCATTAGATTAACAAATCGTCACAGTCCCCTCACTCAATAAACTGGATGCCAGGATTTCTGCAGAACACCAGGCCCCCTGGTCACCATGACAACTAATCATGATATCACTGGTTTTATGACCCCCCAGGAATGTGAGTAGAATAACCCACTCATTGTCCGAACAAAAAAATAAAGTAGAATGGAGTACAAAAAAGGTAAAAATAGAGTAGAACTTGATAGAATTGAGTATATTTGAGTTGAAAAAGAGTAGAATGGAGCATAAAAGAAAAACAGAAAACAGAGCAGAATGGATTGTAAAGGGTAGAATAGAATATAGTAAAATTGAGTATATTCGAGTAGAATTAAGCAAAAATGTAGAACAGCAGAGTTGAGTATAAAAGGGCAGAACAGAGTAGAATTTAGTACAATTGAGTATATTAGAGAGTTAAATAGAGAAGAATGGAGTATAAAAGAGAAGAACAGAGCAGAATGAAGTGAAAAAATGTAGAACAGAGTAATAAGAGTTGAGTAGAATGGAATATAATAGAGTACACTAGCGCTGAAGAGAGTAGAATGGCATATATAAACGGGTAGAATATATATAGGGTAATTGAGTATATTAGAGTTGAATATAATAATAGTGATAATGATAATATCAAACACAGGCCTCTGCAGCTGTCTGGGAGGAAAAAGCAGGACCAGAAAAGAAAAAAAGATGAAAAGAGTAAAAAGGAAATGAAAATAAACAGATGGAGCGTCTAGCAGTGGAGGTCTGTCATTAAATCTAGGTGGAGGACTGAGGCATGAGACCAGAGAAACATATTCACCATAGCAACATAAACGCACACAGAAATAAAATAGTGCATATGCTACATGGACACACAGATTGTATATGAAATCGCTCACTTGTTCCCTCATTCAAGTAGCACTAAATAGGGAATGCTCCATAGTGCACTATATAGGGATGAACTTAACAAAAATGAGGCAGCAAATCTTAGAAAGTAAAAAGTATTTGGACAGTATTTGGAGCTTTCCACAATGCAATAAGTGCAATGTATTGTTGGCTAGTATACATCAGTTATACACTATAAATGCTTTAAAAACGTGTGCACTACAGAGGGAAACAAATTGTCCACTAAAAATTCAGACAACAGTATAAAATGAAAGACACCCCTTATAGTGCGCTACAAATTTAAGAATAGTAAGCAGTTTTTTAAGTCACAAGGCCACTAGTTAACAGAAGTCAGAAGTACAATTAACACTGATTCTGGTAACCACAGTCTTTTAGATACAGTACTGTCATTAACAACGCATTAAAACGTTGCCTTAAACCCTGAACTACAACTGCACCATTATGCAGCCAGCCAGAGCTCACTGAATCTCTCTTTTGCTCTCTCACTCTCCGACATGGTTTAATTTAAAGATTGCGAAAGAAAATAAAAATAGTTTAGTATTATAATCCAATCTTCTGTTTTGTAAATAATTTTATATTCAGTGTTTTTCAGGTGTGTGTGTGTGTGTGTGTGTTCACTACTCACTGCTATGTGTGTGTGCACTTGGATGGTTTAATGCATAGCACCAAATTCTGAGTATGTGCCACACGTCACGTCACTTTTTATTGAAATATCCTGGCTCCTTCAATAATGCAACTTGGTTGTTGTTCACTCTTCTAGCAGTATTGTTGTAAATGTTTCATGGCATGTATAATACATGAGTTTGTTTAGGTTTGTAAATATTCAGAGACTCTCTTGTAGATTTGATGCAATAAAGAGATGAGTTTTTTTTTTCTTTAATAGAAAACCTGAATCCCAATCTAATCCTCTTATTCACTATACAACTCTTCTATAGTCCTCACACACAGCCTAACTGTCAATCAAATATCCTCGCAAAGCACATCAGCTCTGAACTTTGTTGTCAAGCGCATCGTCATGGCAACAATGAATAATTAAGGGGTTTCCTCCAGTCAGGCGTTATCCTGGGCAACCTGAGCCGAGCCCTAACTGGGTTATTTACTGAGACTGGAGAGAGTTTCTGGAGTGTTATTAAGTGACTGTGTGTATATGTGGAATCTGTGCATGTTCTGAATGAATCTGCTGTTGACACCGTGAAAGCAGACATTTATAAATAATCTCTGTTGCTTATTCACTTATGACTCTCATGGCACATGTGAAACAGGACAAATCATACTCATGGTACTGTCAAAACACTATAAATAGCTCATTAGATCAGTGATTAAGTTAGTTATTCACGTCCTGCAGCAGACGCTGCAGACACATTTGCACTATATATATCTGAGTGAATGAGAATGTCAGCATTGAGTTTTTACATGCATAATTTTACACAATTACGCTTAATAACATGGATGTTTCTGTAGTGACTATAGGAAGTGAATACATTTAAAAAAATTTTAATGAATAACTTTATTTCCGCAAGGATGTATTAAATTGACCAAAGGTGACAGTAAAAACATTTAATAATGTTACAACGGATTTATATTTAAAATATATTTTTTAAAGAATCCTGAAAATATGTATCACAGTTTCCATAAAAATATTAAGCAGCACAACTGTTTTCAACATTGATAATAATAAATGTTTCTTGAGCAGCAAGTCAGCATATTAGAATGATTTCTGAAGGATCATGTGGCACTAAAGACTGGAGTAATGATGCTGAAAATTCAGCTTTGCCATCACAGGAATAAATCACATTTTAAAATATATTAAATTAGAAAAGAGGTATTTTGAATTGTAATAATATTTCACAATCTTAGTGTTTTTACTGTGTTTCTGTTCATATAAATGCAGCCATGGTAAACATAAGAGACTTCTTTCTAAATCATGGGGGGGTAAAAAAAAAAACAACAACTTACAGACCCCAAACTTTTAAATGGCAAAGTCATGTAAATGCCTAAAATTATTTTCTTCAGGTAAAGGTCCAGGTTTAAGCAAAAACAGAAAAAAACATATATGCTCCTCCCAAATTAGCATACTATCCATCCTAAATAGTATTTGAAATCATAATTAGTATGTCCAAATTGTAATATATTGAAATATGTATTCCAAAGGTACCCGGACGGTTTACTATTTCTGGTAGAAATTCGAAGTGCAGATCCGTGCACACTCGATGGCTAATATTGCCCACAACCCACTGCATTGATCAAGGATTCAATTAGAACTACAAACGCATAAAGTGTTAAAACATGTGAAACAGGACAAATCATACTCATGGTACTGTCAAAACACTATAAATAGCTCATTAGATCAGTGATTAAGTTAGTTATTCACGTCCTGCAGCAGACGCTGCAGACACATTTGCACTATATATATCTGAGTGAATGAGAATGTCAGCATTGAGTTTTTACATGCATAATTTTACACAATTACGCTTAATAACATGGATGTTTCTGTAGTGACTATAGGAAGTGAATACATTTAAAAAAATTTTAATGAATAACTTTATTTCCGCAAGGATGTATTAAATTGACCAAAGGTGACAGTAAAAACATTTAATAATGTTACAACGGATTTATATTTAAAATATATTTTTTAAAGAATCCTGAAAATATGTATCACAGTTTCCATAAAAATATTAAGCAGCACAACTGTTTTCAACATTGATAATAATAAATGTTTCTTGAGCAGCAAGTCAGCATATTAGAATGATTTCTGAAGGATCATGTGGCACTAAAGACTGGAGTAATGATGCTGAAAATTCAGCTTTGCCATCACAGGAATAAATCACATTTTAAAATATATTAAATTAGAAAAGAGGTATTTTGAATTGTAATAATATTTCACAATCTTAGTGTTTTTACTGTGTTTCTGTTCATATAAATGCAGCCATGGTAAACATAAGAGACTTCTTTCTAAATCATGGGGGGGTAAAAAAAAAAACAACAACTTACAGACCCCAAACTTTTAAATGGCAAAGTCATGTAAATGCCTAAAATTATTTTCTTCAGGTAAAGGTCCAGGTTTAAGCAAAAACAGAAAAAAACATATATGCTGCTTCCCAATTAGCATACTATCCATCCTAAATAGTATTTGAAATCATAATTAGTATGTCCAAATTGTAATATATTGAAATATGTATTCCAAAGGTACCCGGACGGTTTACTATTTCTGGTAGAAATTCGAAGTGCAGATCCGTGCACACTCGATGGCTAATATTGCCCACAACCCACTGCATTGATCAAGGATTCAATTAGAACTACAAACGCATAAAGTGTTAAAAAAAAAACTACAAACATGGCAGATATGCAAGACTGATGGACAGGTAGAGAAAGGGGTTTGAGTGACAAATAATCAATATCTAACCTGATGAAAAAATGTTTATTTACTGCTCTCCGCATTATATTTCATCTGCAACAACATTGTGAACTTTTATATAGAGATACATTTGGTCATTAACTTTTAAATGCATCATTATGCAAACACATGAGAAGCATTCTCAGCATGATAGACCCGTGACTGGCAGATCAACTTGCCTCTTCATTTCTCTCCAATACTGTAGGAAATCAAATTATACGAAATGTGGATGATGTTAACGGTGACAAGATGATTGACAGGGCAGTTTAAACAGTGACAGAATGCACATAACTAAGCAAAAGAGCATCTGTTAAAGACATAATTACAGTATGACGAAGTATGTCCCAAAGCTTGCCTGCTATTCTGCTACATACTCAAAAGTATGTACTTTTTCTTCACAAAAAGAGTACATACTTTTAGGGAACAGTATAGGCGAATTGGGACGCAGAAATAGATTTTACCCCATTTTGCTCTAAATGTAAACAACTTTACTGGCGTTCTGACGACTTACTATATTTACATGTCAGTTAATAGTTTAATGCTGACACCAGATTTCTTTATTTTTTTCGGTTTTAAAAATTTGCTAATTTTTTTTTGAGTTATCAATGTTTTGTTGTACATGTAAACTCAAATGATGATCATTTTATGAAGCTTTCAGAATCTCTCATAGCGGTCACACAGTCTTTATTGGCAAAGTATTCTGGGATTGATTGTGTAGGAGACTCACCTGACAGGAAGGCAAACTGTTTCCTGAGGTCTAGGCTGATGTCTGCGGCACACAGAGGACTGCTCTCCTGCTGCATAATCTCATCTGTGTGAGAAACAAAGAGATTTAGTTAGTAAAAATTTCGCCACAAACAAGGAAAAACTGGTTGTTTCCCATGCTGATGTTTATGGTTATACCACACAATTTCATAGACATAGGATGACATATACAGGAATGTCACTTCACGTTCTTTATCGGTTTCTAGATTAAGATGGCATGATCTTGTTTAAAGTCTGAGAAGAGCAGCTGGATGAATGGATGTAGGTAAGATTGGATGGAAGAGCAGCTGAATGCATGGAAAGACGGAACAGCAGATGGAAGAATGGATGGCTGGATGAAGAAGAGAAGGTGAAAACAGAATAACTAAGCAAAAGAGCATCTGTTAAAGACATAATTACAGTATGACGAAGTATGTCCCAAAGCTTGCCTGCTATTCTGCTACATACTCAAAAGTATGTACTTTTTCTTCACAACAAGAGTACATACTTTTAGGGAACAGTATAGGCGAATTGGGACGCAGAAATAGATTTTACCCCATTTTGCTCTAAATGTAAACAACTTTACTGGCGTTCTGACGACTTACTATATTTACATGTCAGTTAATAGTTTAATGCTGACACCAGATTTCTTTATTTTTTTCGGTTTTAAAAATTTGCTAATTTTTTTTTGAGTTATCAATGTTTTGTTGTACATGTAAACTCAAATGATGATCATTTTATGAAGCTTTCAGAATCTCTCATAGCGGTCACACAGTCTTTATTGGCAAAGTATTCTGGGATTGATTGTGTAGGAGACTCACCTGACAGGAAGGCAAACTGTTTCCTGAGGTCTAGGCTGATGTCTGCGGCACACAGAGGACTGCTCTCCTGCTGCATAATCTCATCTGTGTGAGAAACAAAGAGATTTAGTTAGTAAAAATTTCGCCACAAACAAGGAAAAACTGGTTGTTTCCCATGCTGATGTTTATGGTTATACCACACAATTTCATAGACATAGGATGACATATACAGGAATGTCACTTCACGTTCTTTATCGGTTTCTAGGTTAAGATGGCATGATCTTGTTTCATGTGACACTGAAGACTGGAGTAATGATGTAGAAAATCCAGCTTTGCCATCACAGGAATAAATTACATTTTAACAATGTTTTAAAATAGAAATGTTAAAATATATTAAAACATAAATCTGTTATTTTAATTGCAATCACAACATTGCTGTTTTTCCTCAAATAAACGGAGCCTTTCAAATAATAATAATAATTTTTTTTTATTTTACAAATCTTAGATTCCAAACTTTTGAATGGTAATGCAGCAGGAATTTTACAGACTTCCTTATACTGACCAATCAGAACACAGGGCAGAATTATACATTTTACAAGTATAAGATTTACAAGTATCAAGTCTTTTGAGAATTACAGATTTTAAAAGAACAAATATTAAACATTTGGGTCAAATGTTCTTATACACAAGTCAAAACAGCCTATACGACAAAAACAACTAAAGAAAGAAGTGATTTTGAGATTTTATCCTCCATCCAATCACCGGACGTGGTCTCTCATTTACATTTATCCCATCACTCCTATTAAACAATACCAGGCCGTTGAGATCGAGGGGGACGCGCTCAGTCTTGTCACTGTTGCCTCAGCTGGGCTCATGAGAAAGAGGCTTGAGCAGCGTCCAACGTTTCATTCACCATCTCATCACTTGGTTTAATCAACAAAGCTACGGCACAGAGCCTCCACTCAATACAAAACATCCTCTCACACATCCGCAAAACCAAAGCAGCAATAACAGGGCTATAGAAACGGCCCAGGGCCCTAAATGGACGCCAACCGCACATTGACAAAGCTATTCAGCATTGGGGTGCTGGTATTTAGAAGAACCGGGGGAAGGGCCGACTCTCTCATTTTAATGGCTTTCAACGAAAAGACGAGTATTCATTTTTAATGCAACTCAGATGGGTTGAGCTGTGACCGCTACCTCAGTGTGATTGAAGATCTGGGTTTGGACTGTAGCCTAAAAGATCCCAGTATTAAAAGGTTCATCTTCATCTCAGGAAACTGCTAGCCGTCTTTTGTTCAATTATTTTGTTAGTTCACAAAAGTATAACAACAGATTGCCTTGTTGTAATGACATATAATCTATATTATGACTATAATGGGGCAAAAGCGTATTTATACCGGAATCACAATTGCAGAAATGATTTATGAACCCAAATTTTGCTTTTTGACAATTTGCCAAAAATTTTTATAAAATATAATATATGTCCAACTAGTGAAAAACAAGACTTGTAAGGTTTGTAACTATTGTCAGAAAATAAATGTAAGAAAATATGATGTGTTACATTTAATATTGGAATAATTGAATTCAATGGTGTAAATTTAAAAAGTAATATTTTTATTTACTTTTTTACTTTAATTTATTTAACAAACATGCTGATTATGTAACATGTTACATGCAACACTGGTCTTATCTCATTATCATCCTAATGCTCTAATATTGGTGTTTATGATAAGCAGGATCCAAATTCTTCGCTATTACATAAGATTCAGCTATTAAAAAAATGTGCAATTGTGAGCCTCAAGATCTCACCTCTCTTGGAACTCCGTTTCCTGGTGCAGGAGAACAAGGACAACATGTTTTCCGTGTCTCTGCGTTTGTGTCCACTCTCTGCATTATTTACAGGAGAGTGTTGGATACAGTGGCTTAAAAACCTACATATTACACTAAGAGCTCAGATGGAAAAACAAGACACATACCAATACACAGACACACACACGCTCAATGTTAACATGCAAGGAAAACATCCTCTTTGTTCTTCAAGTCTGTGCAAGCAGCCCAAGTTAAACACACTTTTTTTTGTTAAAGACCTCTTTGGCTGTGTCATGTCCGAGCCTGTCTAAACTACAAAGAACCAGTCCATGTTAAAACACACAGGAGTGCAATACAGAAACAATAACTGCTACACAAGACAGTGAAGGCCAGGCAATAAAGCAAAGAGTCACTTACACACACACACTGAAAGCATGACATCTTCCTTTACACAGGAATCACACCCATATCTCATTGTGATTTCCATAATAACTACATGTTTTATGTACACTAAACAAAGTGAAACTTTAGAATACATAATATACAATGAATGTTCCAGAACAACAGTTAAAAACATAGAACTAAGCCACATGTTATTAGTCACTTCATCCACTGTCCATATTACTTTTGCATAAATCT